GCGTCATTTCTGGCACCGACTAGAGAGATATCCGACCATTTATCAAATTACAAATATACTGCACTGCATTCCATTCTGTCCTGCTGTATGGCTGGCTGGGAGAACCCATCTATCCAAATGAACATAAAGCCAGGCAATACTGCGTAACGGTCCGAGTTGCCACATTTTATATCAGTACATCAAGTAAAATGGCAGTGAAGTGGAAAATGGGAGAGAAAAATCAGTCAAAAGAAATATAAAGTACTAAAAGAGAGAAAGGAAGAATGAGGAAGTGGTGAGGATAATGTGTGTATAGATCGCCACTGACTTTGGTTCTAAGCCATATCACCTAGAGTCTCTAACCACTAGTTTCTCTTGTCCCGCGGACCCAAACCGGCTAATCTGCATCGCCCCACATAGCTCAAACCAGTGGTCAAAGACTTCATACATTGATGCCATGTTTTAGTCTGGCCACCTAGGGCTTTTTTCCAGCCTGGATCTACTTCGGCCAACATTGTACGATGAGGCAATCGGTAACTAGGCATACGTAACATGTATCCCAACCATCTCAGTCGATGAAGGTGGTCAAACGTCTAAAGCCTTCTCATTTCTTCCACCTTGAATGGCCATGTTTCACAGCCATACAGTAAAACAGAGCGCACTGCTGTGCAGCACACGCGACCCTTAATACACAATGGGATATCACGACGGCGCCATAGGTGGCTTAAGTTGGCAAAAACCAGCCTAACCTTTTGTATCCATGCAGAGATTTCATTTGCCACTGAGCCACTAGGGTAGGGCTGATCCTACTTCCCAGGCAAATGAAGTGGTTTACACACTCAACCATTACACTCTCTATTGTTGACCGAGGTACCGTTGAAGATCAATCCTGGAACAACAATTTACATTGGGTGGTGAGAAACGCATCCAAAACATTCTCGAATTGCCACTCAGTGTCCAGTGTCAGCATCTTCATGTAACAGAACTATGCCATCTGCGTATTCTAGGTCTAACGAAAATTTCCCACCGATTAGGTCAACCTTGTTGTAGTCAGGTGACGAGAGGGTGACCTCCATAAGAATATCTGTGATAAAACAGAATAAGAATGGAGAGAGTGGGGACCCTTGATGGAGACCACTCGACGGGCATAGCTCCCCGGACATCTCACTATAAGTTCTAACATGCCTTCAATAAGGGGATGTACTTGCTCGGCATACATTTCAGTGAGAGACGTCGCCATAAGACTTTTCGGTCAACAGAGTCGAATGCCGCCTTCAGGTCGAGAAATACGGCTATTGTCGGTTGTCGGTAAGCGTGCCTGTGTTCCAAAACCTGTCGCAGTGTGAATATTTGGTCGATACACCCGGGGCCTGCTCTAAAGCCTGTTTGGTTTTCTCGGGCTTGCTGTTCCCTAGCTCCACTCAAACGTCGAAGAATTATAGAACCTAGAATTTTGGATACTATGTTCGTCAGACTGATTGCTCTGTGGTTATCACAAGAGGACTTCTCGCCTTTTTTGAAGATTGGAATGATCAGTGATTTAGACCAGTCAGAGGGGATCTTATTTGATTCCATATACTAGTTAATACTTCTGTTAACCTGACTAAGAGCACTCTGCCACAATCCTTGTATACCTCAGGAGTTAGTTCGTCTGGTCCTGCTGCCCTTCCTCTTTTCAGGTTACCTACCGCTTTCTCGACTTCTGCTAGTGTTGAAGGGCCTATCTCAATGTTCTATTCAGGATCCGACTGGATAGCGGGCAACGCAATGGTGGCTGGAAGCCAGTTAAACTGTTCCTCGAAGTGTGCTGCCCATCGTTCCAGTTGTCTCTCCTGCGAGTGAATCTCAGACCCGTCCTTCCCCGCTACTGCTTCATTAACTGTTGTTGACCTTTTCTCCCCAGTTTCCTTAATAAGTCTAAGTAACTGTCTAATGTTACCAATCGCTGCTGTCTTTCCCATCTCTTTAGCCTTCGCTGCCTACTACTGTTCGCGGTCATTGCGTAGACTTTTTCTGAATCTACTTTTATTGTACTCAGAGCCTGTAGGGATGCGTTCACGTGCATCCACTAGTTCGGAAGAAGCTGCTGATATCCACTGGCTCTTTTAGTCACTATTTCGGGGTCGACTATGGTCTTCAGCACTGATTTTACAGCAGACTGGAGATGGCATCAAGCTTCTTCTGGATGAGTGATAGTCTTCTGTTCTGATGAGTGCCTGGCCAATTCACTGAGAGCGGCTTTGTTGTTTTCGTTGTCGAGCTGCATTTGTAGTGGTTCTGTTGCCAGATTTTTCCTACCTCCATTGAAATGCATGTATGTACGTGCTTGGACCAATGCGAGGTCTCTATCCAAGCATGTACTCCAGCAGGAGTGGCAGTCTTCTACCGATCCTCTCCAGTGATGACTAATAACAATGTGGTCTATCTGTGTCCATCGCTGAGTTGAGCTAGGTGGACGTCACGTGAAACAGTGTCTATCTTTATGTCTGAAATTTGTGCTGGATAGAAATGGGCATAGTTGTAGTAGGCGATCACCGTTATCTGTACGTTCAGCCGGGACTCCGAAAGTGTCACGTAAGCGCCTTTTCGCCTCACTCAGTCTACCCAACTGTGCGTTGAGGTCACCTGCAACAACCACCACTTCCTAAAGCTTGGCTTTCTAGAGGAGGCTAGACAGTTTACGGTAGAACTCATCTTTCACCTCATCCGAACTGCAGCCAGTGGGTGTGTAAGCAGAAATAACAAAGAGACAACGGCGAGTCTCATTATTCCTTTTAGCTCTCACTGTGCCGTTCAGCCGGACAGCTCAAACGCGACTATTAACAGAGATCTAGTCTAGTAGTGAGTTTTCTGCCCTGGTGCTTAATGGTATGCCTGCACCTGCAAGACCACGTGAACTAGCTATCGAATCCTCAGAAACTGGGAAGGTGAATTTTACGGGTTCACCAGATTGGTCGGGAGAGATTAGGTAAATAGTCGCACTTAGGTCCTGTATGCGTGTCTCACAAACCCAGCACGCATCCTTGGCCCTAGTTGTGGGAAATGGCCGTAAAAAGTAGAGGATATAAAGTAGTTACAGGTCTCTGACCATAGGTGTCTTCGTTGCATTGCTCGCGTTCGATAGAATCACCATGTAAGCAATGTTGAGGTCAGGCGAAGAGTACTAGGCAAGACAGGAGAGTCGATTGATGGGGTTGTGAACCTTAGTCCATTGAGATGGCTTCTACATGTGCTGCGCATGCCGAGTCACTCAACGTGCAATGGTAGGGGAAGCTGGATTAGGTTAGAATAAGGTTCAGAGTGACGAGACCAAGATGTGATACCAGTCGATGAAGTCGCTAACTGTTGGTCTGAGTCATGTGGGGAGATGTTACCTGCCCAGTTGGGGTCCTCAAGATGAAAGAAATCAGTGTTTGAGGATTCTTGGTGACGTAGTTGTAAATCGATCACAGTGATGCAGATGTATTCACTTCTTAGCATATTTTAAAGCTTGAATTTTTGTTCTAACCTGCATCTTCAAACTGCTTGTTCTCTCACACAACTTTGTATAATTTGACATCACTCTTATTCTGTTTACCTGTCCTTTTAATGCTATCGTGAAGTGTGGTAACTTGAGCAGATGCACCTATGTACGAAGTTTTTACGTCGATTTTGTCGGTCAATTGGGTCAGCATAATCTTTAAGCCAACATTGTTTGTCTTTGGGTTTGAATGCCATCATAATCCCTATCGTACTGGGAGTCTTGCGTAGGGTTTCTGATATCCCTTCGTAATTTGGCAATACTATTAAGGCCTTGAATTCCTTTAGTCGTGTTGCGATCATTGTTCACATCATTAATTCCCCTTTTTTTTGCGTCCTTATGTATATCTGAATAAATTTAGGATAGTTATCGAGGAAAATATCCCTCATGTATTTCATTTCCTTATTTATCTTTTGAGCTTACTTAATGAACTCCGAGTTTAATTACCTTTATGTTCAGTTGGACCTACTTTTACTGATGTAGGGTGAAATGACCTAAAGTCTAGATATTTATTGGAAGCGTTAGTTTCCTGTCGACACTTGTGTCTGAAACACCATCTTGTCTTTGTGGGATAGAGTAACAGTCCTAAAGACTAATATAGTTAAGTTTTGAGAGGTTGATTACTGAATTTCTTAACATTAATTCAACGCCTAACCTCTGTAATAAGAATGATTTAACGCTGATTCCAAATGTGTGAAAAACCTTACTACCGATTAAATGAAAGAATGAAAAGCTAATAGAATTATGAAGAAACTAAAACAAGAGGTTGTGTGATGTAAATGATATGAATATGAACAATACATTGGGTTTGAAACGTTATGTAGTAAGTAATACTATATCATTACAAGCTATATCAAATAGATTAATCTAAAATGGAAAATTCAAGCTTTGAAATGTGATTAAAACTAGTTTAATCGTCCGTTTAGGTACCATATCAAGTTTCTATGTTAGTTAAATAATACAAGGTTATGATGCTATTCAACCAAATACCTTCAGTCAGTGGTTTGGAGATTTTACGAAAGGTAATAATAATCATGGCGTTTCCACAGTGTCAGTGTTAACGAGGATTCTATCCATGTGCAACTGGTTAATTTCTCAACATGACCTTAGTGTTATTTGAATAAATTGTTTGCAAATAAGCGATTGGATTTATTAAATAATATGTATACCAGTTCAATTTGAGAAATAATTTTATCTATATTTTAGCTATTTTCAAATTGTATCCCCACTTGCAAGTACAGAAGACAGGTATATTCCTTGAAGCCATTGTTAAATGCATGGCAATTAAAGAAGATAGAATGACTAAGTCGAATTTAACATGAATAGATAAAATATCTTTTCTATATGGTTGAGACCTAAGCGCTTTCTTACATAATGTTACGTTCTGCTTGCTCTTTCTGTAAAGTATAATAATCTGTTAGTTATCATATTAGTTTATCAACTTCATTAGGGATTCCTACTTATCTAAATCGATTTATTCCTAAAATTGCTTCTAATCCAGGTTGGTCATGTCAAAGGTGTTGGCTCAATTGTTAATGCCAATGAAGTTTTGGTTAAAAAAGAAGATGGAACTGAAGAACGACTCGAAACGGAACGTATTCTCATCGCAACAGGTAGTGAAGTCACTCCATTTCCCGGGATTGAGATTGATGAACAATCTATTGTCTCGAGCACTGGTGCACTTTCTTTAACTAAGGTTCCTGAGCATCTTGTTGTCATTGGAGCAGGAGTTATTGGTGTTGAGTTGGGTTCAGTATGGAAGCGACTGGGTGCCGAAGTAAGCTGTTAACACTTTGTAGTGGCTATTCTTTTTCTATATTAACCTGTTTTATAGACGTTAGTTTTTAATGTGATCTACTATTCTTTTACCATATAACTACATATCATTTTAAGTTTCCACGCTGCATATCAGCACAAAGAGAAGTCAACAAGTGGAATGAAAAAATAAGTAGAAATAATGACATTTGCAGCCACAGAAAACCAATTTTTGGTCAAGTTACCTAAGTTTTATAGTAACTATGGGTAGTCCTTACCGGTGGGGTTCAGGACACGCATTTCGTCAGCTGGATGTACCTGTTTTTCAGTAAGCGATGTTGTTCCCATTAAGGTTTGAACCCAGGACTGATCAATACATGAAACAACATACGATACCTAAATTCTCCAGTCATTAATTTGAACGGTCTCACGGAGCATAACTAAAAAGTATGCTTTTTCGTTCTGTTTCAATCAACAATCAGAGACCTTATGGGTTGATGACATACCCAAGTGTTTAACCTTCTCTTGTTTCTCATCGTTACTGTAATAAGTTACAAATATCCAGCTGCTACTTACATACAGGATTGAGTGCCTTCACTAAACCGAAAACGTTTACTTTGCATGGTCTATAAAAGTTATTTAAACTACGTTTTATTTGATGTTTGACAGTTTTTTAGCCAATATAATTAAATTAGTCTCGAAATTGAATAAACATAAATATATATACGTTAAAGTTTTCTCGGATTGACTTGTTCATAATATTAGAGTATGACAAGTAAAAACAACGTGGAGGCTGACACATTCGTGTGTTTGTCTATGATAATGTTTCAACACATACACAGACACCTAGTTCAAGATTTTGACTGCTTAGTTTATTTGGCGGGCATATTAGCTCCTGACAAGTCAGAGTATTATGATATTTCAACCTCTAGACCAGAAGTACTTATGTATGGTGAACTAGGATTTTATTGACTAAACTGAATAGTCTACTAGCTGGGATTTTGGGGAGACACAATTCCAATAGTTGGTCGGTCAATGTCAAAATAGGCGACAAAATATACATAGGATTTGGCACATAAGTGCGTTGGTTCGAGTTACTACACATCACAATAGGATACGAAGAAAACGTGGATCGAAAAATACTAATATTGTAGTAGAAAATGGTGTATGAAAGGGAAGGGGATTTAAAAATGAAGGCTAATCAAAACATACATGTAGAAAACGTCAAAGAGTAGAATACATCTGCATCACTGTGATCGATTTACAACTACGTCACCAAGAATCCTCAAACACTGATTTCTTTCATCTTGAGGACCCCAACTGGGCAGGTAACATCTCCCCACATGACTCAGACCAACAGTTAGCGACTTCATCGACTGGTATCACATCTTGGTCTCGTCACTCTGAACCTTATTCTAACCTAATCCAGCTTCCCCTACCATTGCACGTTGAGTGGCTCGGCATGTGCAGCACATGTAGAAGCCATCTCAATGGACTAAGGTTCACAACCCCATCAATCGACTCTCCTGTCTTGCCTAGTACTCTTCGCCTGACCTCAACATTGCTTACATGGTGATTCTATCGAACGCGAGCAATGCAACGAAGACACCTATGGTCAGAGACCTGTAACTACTTTATATCCTCTACTTTTTACAGCCATTTTTCATAGCCAGCCATACAAGAGGACAGAATGGACTGCAGTGCAGTATATTTGTCCTTTTATATATGGCCAGATATCTCGCCAGTCGGTACCGGAAATGCCAAACGGGTCTTCTGTATCCGATTTGAGATCTCGTCAGCGGCTAATCCGTCCGGGCTAATGGAACTCCTCAAGTAAGTGAAGTGGTCGACATGGACCCTAGCATTTCTGCCTAACCGTAAGTTGCTATACCTCACACCCGCACACTGAATGAGAGGGCACCCAAAGGAGAGAAAAGTAAACAAGGACGGAAGTAGTCAAAGGTAGTAAAATGTCGTGGTCACGTAGAACATGAGAAGTAAGAAAAGCGTAAAATTCAGTATGACGATTCAGATGGAAATATGTGAATCCATCGGCAGTAGTGAGATCAATCATGAACCATATCACCTAGAGTCTGCAACCACCGATTTATGTTGTCATGCGCACACCGACCAGAAAGTTTACATTTCCTTATACAATTCAAACAAACCACCTGGTACCATGTTTTAGTCTGGCCACCCCTGGCGTTTTCGCAGCCTAAACCTGCTTCAGCTAACACTGTGCAACTGAGCAGATCATGACCGGCCAGGAGAGGTATCTTTTCGTAATGACTGCAAAGAAGTCAGCTCAACATTTTAAACCCCCTAATGATTTATTATTTAATTGGGTCCTAGAAATAGTAGACTTATAATGGGTGTTGAAGGAAAATGTATTGTACGACACTTCTATTTTTGTTTACCGCCTGACTATGAAATGCGAATGCTAACAACGAAAAAGATTTTGGTTACTTGATTTCCTGACATCCTCTTCGTGTAGCGGAGCCGCCATATAACCGATGTGTAGTTCCGGTGTACATTATTAGTTAAGAGAAATAATCTACTGTATGAAGTTTTTACGTCTAAGTGACACTGAGCAATCCTCTGCACAACATAATATGTTGACAGAACTAGGATTAGTTTCAAAGAAAGCTAAGTGTTGTCACACGAAAACATGACATCAATCCATAAAATCTCTGAATGTTCATCTAAGCCATTGAGATCCTCGGAATGTTAGATTTCAATGGTTGACTACTCTTGGTGAAATGATTCATAATTAACACTACAATAACGCGAATGTGTTTGCTTTTTATCGTCGTAATTTCGATGATTTCCACTAGCCTTTGGCTAAATTGCTTTCTTCCCTAATACTCCTCTCTTTTTTCATTTTAATACAATGGTATGGGCGTTCAATTCTTGTGTTTGCAACCGAATCTCACTAATACAAGAAGATCGCTTACTATTTGAAAACTCTGATGTTGGTTAATATTTATTCTAATTTTCAGTACATTTGTTTTGATTTTTACGCTTACTGACTTCAGAAAACATTCATTCTGGAAATTCTTCCTTCGGTGACAAACAATGCTTTGTGTTGTACAATTTCTCCATTTGTCCTATTTAGTTAACGTTGATTTTTGCACCTTTTATTTCAGGTCACATGTGTAGAATTCCTTGGTCATGTTGGCGGTATGGGTATCGACATGGAAATTAGCAAAAATTTTCAAAAAATTCTAACAAAACAAGGCCTAAAATTCCGTTTAAATACTAAAGTTTTATCAGCTTCCAAATCTGGTGATATCATCACTGTACAATTAGAAGGTGTAAAAGACAATAAGTCTGAGAGTGTGAGTACCTCTTTCTATTGTTTTATATTTCACTGTATATTAACAATCACATATCAACTAGTTATGTAACTTAGGCTGTTTTTTTACTTAGTATTGAGCACGGAATCAATAGAAATCTTATGTAGCATAGATACAGTCATTGATTTGATATTACGACATATATTATATTCCTTCATATTAGTATTGTTCCAGGGGTATTGATCTACATGTGAGTGTTTCATCATTTTCAATGCACACTCATCGTCACTTAAAAACGTTTTTCAACAAAACACTAAGTTGAGAAAATATTTCAAATTTTTCATTGTTTAATAATTATTGTTAGCATTTTCACTCCCTTACTTGGTATATTTCAAATGCTGTAGTGAACCGTCAGAGTCTTAAACTTGTCCTTATTTCCACTGATGATTGTTTAGACGATAAGTTACAAGTAGGTAATAAGTGACATCTTTATTTATTTAATAATTAATTAATTTTTTTTTGTGTGTTCAATTCTCCATTACAGCTTGATTGTGACACTCTTCTAGTATGCATAGGAAGGCGTCCGTACACCACTGGGCTTGGTTTAGAGAATGTTGGCATCAAGTTGGATGAGAAAGGTCGAATTCCTGTGAATAAGAACTTTCAGACTTCTGTGCCAAAGTGGGTTGCCCTTTTTTTTAAGAATCTAACTTATAGACATTCATTGTATAATGGTCACTTTTTTATTAGATAGTCCTCATACATTGCATTGGAAGACAATGTAATTATCTATCCCTCTTGAACAGATAAGTAATCGAACTCAAGCCTCTGTACAGTGTTATTGATCTCACTTTGTGTATCGACAGTATCTGCTATCATGGGTTGTATCAGTTGAAACGGACAACGTGAGAAAGCTGTTTTCGACTGTTATTGTTTTCCACAGAAGAGGCAGTGAAGACAGGACTTCAAGTGAACGTAGAGAAGACAGAGGTGATGAAGATACCCAACCAACAACAGCATCAACAACAACAAGCTCCAATCACTATGAACAGGAGAAACCTAACGGAAGTAACCTCTTTCACCTATCTAGGAAGCACTGTTTCAGCTACAGGCGGCACAGGCACAGACAAGGACGTCAAAGCCAGGATCGGAAAGACAGCAAGACAGGCGTTCATTAGCCTGAAACCAGTGCGGAGATCTTCTGCACTCAACTTAAAGCGTGAACAACATCCGGATTTTCAATACTAATATCAGTGCTTCTATATGGTGTTTGAGAGACTTGGTGCGTTACGAAAGGGATTTTCAATAAACTACAGATATTTATCAGCAAGTGCCTACTCTCGTTACTAAAGATCAGATGGCCAGAATAATATGAATAAGCAACAAGGAGCTGTGACAACGAACCAACCAAGAACCTATCTCTCAACAAATATGCACTGGAAGGAAGTGAAGATGGATTGGGCATGCACTGAGACCATTCGGGGACATCACATGCCAGGTACTCAAGTGGAACCCAAATGGGAAACGACGAGTTAGGTGTCCCAGCTGAGGGTGACATGGAGGAGATCAAGCGAGGAAGAAATGAGAGCTTGTGGGCAGTCGTGGAGCCAGGTTGAAAAGATTGCAGAGAAGAGAGTGGAATGGAGACGTGCTACTGAAGCCCTATGTTCCACTAGGAACCCAAGGGACAAATAATAATGTACTGTTTTCCACATCCATTGCCTTGACATGGTGGTCGGAATTGCGTACCTCAATAACCCAACGAGCTACTCTGGTTACAGCAATTATTTTCTGGGGTCCTACCATACCAGAAAGGTCTGTTAGATAGTGGTAAGATTGAGAGCGATTACCGTCATGGTGTAAATAGTCTATGCCATGCGGAGGTTTCAGGCAGATTCGTACTGCTGGTTGGACGAGGTGTGATAGCATTGAGGCGTTTCCCGCGAATGACCAACAGTCCCTGTTGATGCTGTGCACCCTATATGAAGGGATTAAGAAAGATAAATCATAAGGATGCCATCCTATTTCCTGCCCTGTTGTCTCTTGGTGTTGGCGGTATGGATTTTTCTTGTTCGGTGGTAGGACAAAATAGTCTCAGTTCCAAACTCCCGAAAAGGCTGCGTATGACAAACTTTGGTTATGCAATCACTCAAAACTGATCCACTTTCTTTTTCAGTTGCCATAAGGAAACAATTTTAATCCTATGGAAAGTCGGAAAGTATCAACCACTTCCATGCTTCCAGTAGCATAGAAAACTGTTTTCAAATTCATTTATCGCATTTGATAAAACCTGTAGATGGAAAGTGGTGAGGTTAGGTAAATTAGATAAGCCCTAAGCGTTCACTTATCAAAATGGTTATAATATTTCACATATTGAATAATATCTAATTTTCATTCAATTAAGAGTGAAATGAAAAGATTATGCTATAGCAAGTAAAAGTATGCGGTCTCAGTCTGACAGAGTCCAACTGTGATCATGATTTGGAGATATTGCCCTCGTTCCATCTAACTTTCTTTCTTCATTTTCCTTAACTATAGCATAATGGAGTTCCATATAGCTAATATTTCAACAGAATAAGATATTTTGAGCTTTAAAAACGCCTGATCCAATAAACTAGACTATACCATTGGTAGATTTAACTTGGAAGAATGTTGCTATCTATGCTTGGTGCAATACTTCAATTGTACTTCCATTAAAATTAATATAAAGAATTTTGTTTCCTGCTATCCTAAACAGTAAAGGCTTGGATGAATTTCATAAATCCATTTGATGGAAGTAATTTCAGATGATAAAGATGTAACTTCTTTGTGAATATATTAAAGCTATGAACCTTATGCATTATGCACAATAAGAAAATACCTCTCGATTACCGATAGCTATCATAAAAAAAGTTTGAATTCGTAGTAAGATAATTGTGAGTTGAATGCCAACACTACAAAGAAAAAGTGGATAGAAAAAGTGATATCAAAGTGGAAAAAAGTTGTGTGAGGAAATATACAATTTGAAGATAACGGTCAGTATCGGTATTCAAGGATTAGAAAATGTCAAGGAGTGAGTACATCTGCGCCTTTGTGACTTATTCTCAGCCGTGTCACCAAGAACCCGCAACCACTGATTTCCTTCGTTTCAAGACCTCCAATCAGTTAGTCTATACTTCCTTACATGATTCAGACCAACAGTTGGGAACTTCATCGACTGGTGCCACGTCTGGGTTCGGCCACTCTGAACCCTCTTCCAACCTGTTCAAACTTCCCCTAGCATGGCACGCTGAGGTAGGTGGTGGCTCGGCATGCACAACACATATCTAAGCTATCTTAGCCGACTTAGGTTCACAACCTCATCAATCGACTTGCCTGTTTTACCTAGTACTCTTCACCTGACTTCAGCATTGCTCACATGGTGGTTCTATCGAACGGGAGTAATACAACGAGGACACGTATGATCAAAACCATGTAACCGCTTAGTGTCTACTACTTTTAGCGACCATATCTCAGCCATATAACAGGACAGAATGGACTACAGTGCAGTATACTCGTCCTTCAATAGGTAGTCGGATATCTCGTCAGTCGACGCCGGAGATGACTCAAGTTGGCAATTGTTAACACTAAAATTTATCATCTTGAGTAATTAGTGTTGATAATATTTTTAGTTATGAGTGTACTCATTGTATACAAATTAGTTCTATCTCTTACATGTAATTCGATCAGTTCATCAGTTTTAAATTGCAACCTAGAATACCTGTATTACGGTTCATGTTGCTGAAAACCAGAGCACTTCTCAATACTAGGTAACCAAAACAAAAGCCGAATAAATGTAAATGTAGTCAAACCTTTTCGAAAGTTATAAGATGAAACAAAGAAAGATGAAAGCAAAGAACAAAGTTTGACACAATGACTAAAATGATGGCAAAATATGGATATTGTTGTGCCACTGGTATCACTTTTAAGCTGTATCACCTAGAGTCTACAATAACGACTTTATGTTATCACACATACCTCAACCTACACATTGCTTAGATCAACAATGAGGAACTCAAATTCCTTAATGTCAAATAAAGATTAACTGGTATCCTTTAATTAGACTTGTTTTTTTATTATTTTTGTTGACTAATTTCTTTAATTGGAGGAGAAGAAAATCCAATGTGTTTGAGTTACTTTGGATTGATACTATCCTCCTACATTGATAGACATATATATATATATATATATATATATATATATATATGCATGCTTGTAGAACATCTGATTGTCAGAAAAGCAATTCAATCAGATATTTAACGAGCACACATTCCCTCTTATTTTATTGCTTGATTAATAGTAAGGGTAGTTAGTTGTTGTTATATTTGTGTTGACGTTATATTTTCCTACTTCACTACTATTACTACCACTACCTTGATAATACTGTTAACCTCGAATGGGGAATGTTGATAGAGACCATCTTAATTTGTTTTCCTAGTCATTAGGGAAGATAAACCTGAAAGTGAAAATATGAAATGTGTATCTAGGGGAAACAGATACTCAGTGAAGTAAAAGCAACTGTAAAGACTAAGTAATCGAAAGCATAAACTCATCTGGTTGTGAACACAATAGAGTGACAGCAGCATAAATATGAATTACCACACTGTACACAATGATAACGCAATGCAGTCTCGCGTTATTTCCATCTTAGTCGTCATACCCAATTCTAGAACATAACGATACCACTCACGTAGAAGAAGCCTGACGCCAACTCTAGTCTACTGAAAAAACAGTGTTGAATGCTGTAGCCAACTCTCAGAAAGCGGTTAAGAGTGGTCATTGAATCTCAACAACTTCTTCTGAACTAATGGATGTTCGCGAACGTATTCCTGCAGACTCTGAGTACAATGAGGAGTGGAAAGTCAATAATTTTTGATGGGTCAGTCGCTGACGAAATCTCTACACCGAGAGAGAACACTCGCCGCTATGATATCCGATTGCTATTAAGGCTCCAGTATATTGCGCTTCAATTTGCTCTTTTCTACCATATAAAGTACAAGATATGGAAAGACTTCAGGTATCCAACCACTGTTGCCTTCGCAGTAGAGACTGCGTTGTAGTGTCACTGCGTCAGTGAAGCAGAGGTCAAGTGCAGAGTTTTAGGGAGAAGAGGAAAGTCAGTTGATGAGGTTGCGAACCTTCATCAGTTCAGGTGGCTGAGACATGTGTTTCGCATACTTGGTCACCGTTTGCTTCGTTGCACAATTTTAACTAAACTGGGTTTTGGCTGGGATAAGGTTAGAGGGTGACCAGACGAAGACATTGTATCAGTACATGAAATTTTTAACTGTTGGTCTGAGTTGTGTAGATGGAAGTTGACTTTTTGGTTCCGTTCCTCGTGACAATAGGAAGCAGTGGTTAGAGACTCTAGTTTACATGACTGAGAACCGATTTGTGCGGATGTATTCACACATTGGCATAGTCTTTATCGTCATAGTTATTTTCGTATTTATTTATTTATTCTTTTTATCCTACCGTGACTTTCTGCCACTCTTGTCTACTTTCTTCTCTATCCTTTCATCTTACTGCTTTCTCTCTTGATTTGCTGATATAAAGTGTGGCAGCTTAGAGGATTATGCAGTAGCGGCTCGTCCAATGTTGGTCTTGTCTGCGTATCTGTCCTCTTTGTTTCACTCCATCTTCCTCTCTCTTTACAACCTTCTACCAATTTTGATTACTTTCTTCCTTATCCTTTTATATTTCATCTTGGTACCTTCTTCTTTGATGATATGAGGTGTAACAACTTGGACGTTACGCAGTATTGTCTTGTCTTATGCTGATATACACTTACCGACTGACGCAATAGTTGTCATTAGAAGTGGGTAGCGAAAGTTAAGGGTATGGAAACAACTGATGTACTGTTGTAAGTCGTTGTTTAGACTTGTTAAGAAAACTAAACTAAATTGAAGAAGATGATAGTGTAGTAAAACTCCAAATGAGTAGTTTGGATCAGTATTCTATTGTTGGAACAAGTCACTGAAATGAATAACGGAGAAGCCATTCAACTGACCTCCAGATATCCTTCAGTTACTAACTGTCCAACTGCAGCCTAAAGGTAATGTTGACAACGAGCTTTACTAAAACCGAGAAAGGTATAAAAAAGATAGAACTGAGAATAGCAGCAGCTTTTAATAATAGTGTATCACCTGAAGTATTCAAAACAATGACCTGGGTAATTTGGTTAGGCTAATGGGAATTTAAGAACGAAGATAGTTGATTGTCCTACTCCTTAGGAAGGAATGGAAATCCTCTCATGATAACCATAGAATAAATGGTTATAACAAAGCAGTTTCTAACTCTCTAAACTCTATAGTCATGAGAGTTTAACAGGAGATTGATAACAGCAATTTTAGGAAAAAAGCAGATAAACTTCAGACTTTATTTTAGATGCATTGACTAAATCCTTGGGATACTTGAATTGCAGCGTGAAAATGCTTGAAACGAAACTCATCTGTTGAAATATACATGTTAACCTTTAAAAAGATTGACATCGTTGAGGTGTTCCGTAATTGGAGGAAAGTAGTTAAACGTACTGACAGTTTCATTCAACTGTAGTATCGAATCAGTATTGGCGGCTTGGTAGCCTATCACATCTCGTCAGTATACACTTAAATCTACAGCAGAAATGAGATATCTAGATCCCTACGAAATATCGAATGTTCTATGCAGGAATTCGCTGTACTCTATTTTCAGAGGAGCTGAGTGACCTCAAGGATGGAACCTGAAGGTGATTGATCGACTTTCCACACACACACACATGTGTATATTCTTTGGTTTCGAGATTGTTTTCATCACTCTTCTACATCAACTGCTTAATGAATAACGTAGGTTCTCATAGCCTCAGTAGGTGAAGCTGGGAAAATTCCGCTCTAAATTCATATTTTTATAAACGACTCCACGCTGAATTTCCGCACTATCTAAATGTCAATTTCATATAACCTGTTTATATTTTTTATATGTATGGAAAGTCGATCAAGTTGACCCTCAAATTCTGCCCTTGATGGTCATTCAGCTCGTCGGTAAATAGAAAAATGTGGTAAGATAACTGAAGGTGTATTGCAATGTTGAATTATGTACAAAATACAACCATCTGTATGTATTTACAATGGTTTTGACCACTTCCAAGGCCTTATCGAAGGACATATACCCTATTGCTTTCGCCTCTTCAACCAATCTGATGATCATGTTTCTTTTCTCGATACCTTGAAGCAAAATATTTTGTTGTAAACGACTTCAGGGATTTAGGGCATCTTATACAGATCTGGGCAGTCTTGTGCGCTAAAACATCAGCACTTGAATTCCTATTGCTTGTATTCGTCGGAATTCTATGTTAAGTATGTTGTGTGATGGAAGTATCTACATGGTCATACTGAAATATAATGATGATCTATAGTTGGATGTTTGAAAACTGCGGTTCAGAAGTAAATAGGTATCGAGATGAGCGTTTTCATCCTATCCTACTCTCTGTAGTTTTTCAAAAGCACCTGTTTTTGTTGTTGAATAAAGGTTTAAGTGGTTGTTTTCAAGATGGAAAATTCAATTGATTGTGTGTCTTGTGATGTAAACGTAATTTCGTTGTGAATGATAGTGAGATCCACAATGTAAGACGTAGATGCTCTATGAATTGAGTACAAAATGATTTCGAAGTTGTAGCCACATTCGTTTTATTAGTATAGGAGTAAAACTTGGGCACTGTGGTAGATTGTAATTCCATTTTAGTCTGTTTATTAGAAATGCCACACACTGAAGAAACAGTGTCAATAACTAACTGGATAACGTTTCGGACACAATTTATTATCCATATTCATATCAGGTAACACCTCAACTTTGAGACAGAGTTTACATAGTCCTAATTTTCTCTCCTTCTCTATGATGACAAAGGTAGTAGAATTTTCCATATATCTGGGACAGGTGCAGCACCATTTCGATTGTATGTATTTGGTGTTTGATTCGATAAACAAAGATTCGGTTATCAATCTCTAACTCCCTCCAACCAATTAAGTTAATTTTTAATACTATCGCTTCATCCCACCCTATTGTGTGATTGTGTGCCATCGCATGCCGAGCTATAGCCGAGTTTTTCTCTAGATTTCTTATCTTATTCGGATCTGCTAATCTTGATTTAGCTAAGTTGTGCTCTACTGCTATTACTAGATAGGTAGGTAGTAGTAGTAATACAGGTGTGATTAATAATAATTCTACAAATTGTAATGATGGTAACAGAGCTGAGAGAGAATTTAAAGCCTCTGCTGTGTTACCATACAAGAAAGGTACCTCAGAAGCATTGCGAAGAATTCTCAATAAGGCTGGGATTAAAATGGCATTTATACCAACAAACTCGCTTAGAAACAAGCTTCGTAGGTTAAAAGATACTGTCCGTGCAATTAAGCAAAATAATCTGGTTTACCAAATCCCTTGCAATTATTGCGAGGTAAAAAACATAGGTCAAAGTAGTCGAACAGGGTCGATTAGAATAACAGAGCACAAAAACTTAGCTGAATCAATATTAGTAGATCCTGATGAGATAATAACTTTAGAGAAAAGCTCGGCTATAGCTCTACACGCAATCTACACACAATCACACAATGGGGTGGGATAAAGCAACAGTATTGGAGGGAGGTAGAGATTGATAACCGAATCTTTGTTTATCGAATCAAACACCAAATACATACAATCGAAATGGTGCTGCACCTGTCCCAGATATATGGAAAATTCTACTACCTTTGTCATCATAGAGAAGGAGAGAAAATTAGGACTATGTAAACTCTGTCTCAAAGTTGAGGTGTTACCTGATATGAATATGGATAATAAATTGTGTCCGAAACGTTATCCAGTTAGTTATTGACACTGTTTCTTCAGTGTGTGGCATTTCTAATAAACAGACTAAAATGGAATTACATATTTGTTTTAGTTATTTTTATTTCTATCAACTTTATAGTTTATGATGTTTTTATGAGCTTTAAATAATGAAAATTCATTCTTTTCTTATCATTTAATACATCTATATATTAGTATTTATGCGATTGGTGATTGTATACCCGGTCCAATGTTGGCGCATAAAGCTGAAGATGAAGGAATAATTTGTGTTGAAGGAATGCTTGGCGGTGCTGTACACATAGATTACAATTGTGTTCCTAGCGTTATTTACACACATCCTGAATGTGCTTGGGTTGGGAAAAATGAAGAACAATGCAAAGCGGAGAGTATCCCCTACAAGTTAGTAATAGCTAATCATTGATCATCTATGTACCATTCCATTTAGTGTCATTGTGTCTTATCTAGTGGTTGCATACACTTCTTCCTAACTTACATTGTTTTTTTCTAGATGGTATTCGTCATGGACTGACATCACTTAGAGGGGCATTGAAAACCTGGGGGCACTGGACAGCTGTTTCGTCGTAGTATGGGACTCTTCAACAGTGCGCATCCATGACCCTGCCGCTGCTCCCAAGTTTACAGTGTTCCTCCAACTGATATCAGTGCATGATGAATACCAACTTGGAAAATCACTAAATCCCCACAAACTCCCGAATTAAATTGTTTTTCCGTCTTATAGAGTTGGCAAATTTCCAATGTCTGCAAATTCACGAGCTAAAACTAATGATGAAGCTGAAGGACTTTTCAAGGTTTTGGCACATAAAGATACGGACAGGCTTTTGGGAGTTCATTTGCTTGGTCCATGTGCTGGTGAGCTGATCAATGAAGCAGTATTGGCTATGGAGTATGGAGCTTCAGCTGAAGATGTTGCACGTGTCTGTCATGCTCATCCGGTTAGTATAATTCTGTTCAGTGTTAAACGTCATATTTATATAATAATAATAATAATAATAATAATAATAATAATAATAATAATAGGAGTAATCACTTTGTTCCAAACAATTTTTGGTACAAATCGGAATTCTCAGCATGATATATAGCAACAACAACACCAAAATATATGGATGTATATACTCCTTTAAAACATCTCGAATTGTGTTATTATATAAATTTAAGTAATGTAAAGAATATTAATAACGAGATTTTACATTGTAAATGAAACTATTGAAATGACATTTTTAACTGTTACAAAGTTGATATGTGAGTTCTGTTCTGATACGCTTTTCCTCACATAATATACGTACTAGGTAAGGTACAGTCGAACTCTTTTACTTAGCTGAACGAGCGTACAGTCTTATGTAATTTCTTCTTGTCCTCCCTGAGGGGATACAAAGAGAGAGCTGTGAATAAAGTGGTTGCTCACTGTCAGTTAAAATTACTGTAGCTAGTTGCTTGCTAGAATTTAAATGTCTATCAACCGTAGTGTTAATCAGTTGGGCCACAGGCACACCACTCACCCTACTGACGGCTTTCAAAGCCCTACGCAATATAACATAGTCCTTTTTTGTAGGCCAGAAAAGATCAGCGGGGAACAATAGAGAAGAACAGGTAAAATGCAGGAATTAATAAATTGCAAAAGTAGATCCTGAGTTACACCAGAGAGCCTCAGTTCCTTTATGTAATGTGTAAAACGAAAGATTTTTTTACAAGTCAACAAGATATGAGACTCAATCCAAGATAGTTGATACTCGATTTACTTTCTGTAGAAAGACCATCAATGCAACAAGCGTCATGGGACTTAACCAGCTCACACAAGTTTTGTTTACACCTGAGGCTAAACTTAACAGTCTGGCTGTTAGAAGGGTTTACCTTAAGACCATTTGAGAGAGACCGTTGGTCACTTGCAGACAATAGTCCATTTATTTCCGAGCAATCTAAGTGAGAGTTGACTGGAATAGAAACCATCAGGTTATCAGCATACTTAATAAAATTATTTTCAACAGAGTAAAATAGAAAGTACAGCACCTTGAGGCACACCAGATTCAGTAAGCAATGAAGTGGAGTACTTCCCTTAGTAGACAGTATACTGTTTCCTTTCGGAAAAATAAGAATACAGCTAAAGTTGAAAAATCTGAGAAACTGCAGTATATATGTTTGTATTTACTCAAATGTTTAGGACGACATTTAATAGTAATTGCACTCAATTTTTTCGTTAGAGAAGCTGAAGCATACATAGTTGGAGGTGGACCAGTTTGTATTGATAAATGTTGCTACACTCTCACCACATTTCTTCTTGGAAAAGCTTCGATCTTGTCGAAATAATTTGAAACCGTTTAAGCACACTAAATCGTTATGATACAGGTTGTGAAGCCATTTTTCTTGCAGTATTATTACACCTGTCTTGTGATAAGCATTCGTGGATAAGAGTGACTGAAGGTAATGAACTTTCTTCGGTAACGACCTGCAGTTTTTGCTAAGTATTTCCGGAATAGTTATTTGTTCTATGGTTGTAAGCTTAAGAGCCTGTTGCTATCCTCCGTGGTTCTTCTTCTTAATCTCCCTATCAACTTGCAAACCGATAGGTTGCAGTGATTTAAAAACGCGGGAGAGTGTATAATACTATTAGATGGCATAATTAGACGATTAAAACAATATAGAAAAGAGAAATTTAGTACCCAAAGTTCAAAGCAGGCCGCCGCTTATATTTCTTCTCACCTTTGGTTGTCATTCATATAGTTCTCTTATATTTCAGATTTGTTCTACACACATAGCCGTTTACCAACAACATCCAGAGCTGTACACTATCATTTAAGAGTGATATCTTCCTAACAAAGTACTGCACCTATGGATCTGACATAACCTGTTTAGACACTTAAATGAATTCACTTTCTTCCGAGGTGGCTTTGTATACTATGTATAATGTGGAATCTATGATTTCAGACTTATTGATAATAGCCATAATTGTAAACAGTCTGGAATGTGGCACTATCGCGTATCGATCGGTCCAAGTTGCTTATTTGATCGCGACCAAGAAGCTTACACTACCCTACATGTTTCAGACCAACGGTGACAGCATGTAACATCGGGGATTAGGTATGGATAACAAACCATACCATCACTTCACTCAGTATTAATATATATCCTCATCACTCTACACTTTATATCTGGACTGAACAACAACCATTCCAGCAAACTCAAACGGTATCATAAAGGTAATGGTTGTTAGATATTTCCGGCTTTCTCGTGTTTCTGTCATCTTCACAGTGGCATTAAGGATCACACATAACACACTGTGTTCTTAATATTTTCATCAGTAACCGCTCCTTTTATCAACTCCAGTTTCGTATGTATATTGAAAATACTTTTTATCAGTTACGTTCTTACTACTATTTGGCACTCATTAATTTCTACCACTCATAATCATTGTACAAACCGTTTGTCACTTTGTGTTACAGCTGTTTCCTTTCACTTCCTGTTTTATGTACCAGGCTCAGACAGAATTAATATTTCATACATCCATTAGTTAGAACGAAGTTATCATAATCCAATTGAACTTCCTGTCCTTCTAAAGAAGCATATTTATAGTCGCTTATTTTCTCGTTTACTAACAGACTGGAGATGATATTCGACCATTTTAAAGATAGAACCACAGTCAGAATCTATCGTTGGTCCATTTTCTTGTTATATACACGACTGGAATTTTGAATGATTTAGACACTGAAAGGTCTTTTAAGTCATTAAGATTTATTTGTACAGTTTCAGTTTGATCGCATACTCAATAGTGAATGGTAATTATGTTTACCAATCCTTTTGAACATTTGCTTGTAGCTGAACTGTTGGAAAATGTCTTTTCATTACATAGCTATTATTTATTGTTGGGTGGTTTGTTTTTACGTCTATTAATTGGATCTCATTGTTCTCAGTGTAAATAATTGAAAAGTATTTTTTGATTCCTATAGGTACAGGTATTTTTTACTGATCTATTTATCGTATTCTATCCTTCACTTCATTATGACTCAGGTTTACTTTAATCAATTCTACCCACTCTACCTATGTATAGGTGTTAGGCTTGGTGAAAGATTTTGTGGCTATCTTAAATATTAAATGATCTGAAAACTAAAAAAATCCAGTAATTTCCGGGGGATTTTAATGTGCGTCAAAGATCTCAACGTTTTAGATATCAACTTGAATTCTCAATAAGCTATAGGTTGTCTGAAAACCCATTCGTAGGGTGTGCTTAAAAGAGAATACTCTGTTTTTCGGTTGTGAAACGCACACTGATTGGCTTAGCGGGATTTAAGTAGTAACCTGTAAATTGTAAATTATTATTTGTCCCTTGGGTTCCTAGTGGGACATAGGGCTTCAGTAGCACGTCTTCAGTGCACCCTGTTCTCTGCAAACTTTTGAACCTCTCTCCACGACAGCCCAGAAGTTCTCATTTCTTCCTCACACGATCTCCTCCATATCACCCTCAGCTGGGACACCCAACTCGTCGTTTCCCCTATGGATTCCACTCGAGTGACTGGCCTGACGCGTGATGACCGCAGTCGGCCTTCTCAGTGTATGCTCAATCCAATCCATCTCAACTTTCTTCTGCATATTTGTTAGGCGATGGGTTGTTGGTTGGTTCGTTGTCAGCCAGCCAGCTACCAGAGTTCCTTGTTGCTTATTTTTTCGGGCCATCTGAGCTTCAGTAACGAGCGTAGGCATTTATTGATGAATGTCTGTAGTTTTTTGGAAATGCTTTTCGTAACGCGCCAAATCTCTGAATCATACAGAAGCGCTGACTTGACATTGGTGTTGAAAATCCGGATCTTGTCCACGCTTTGTGCTGAGTGCAGAAGATCTCCACACTGGTTTCAGGCTAATGAACGCCTGTCTTGCTGACTTTTCCGATCCTGGCTTTGACGTCCTTGTCTGTGCCTGTGCCACCTGTAGTTGAAACTGTGCTGCGTAGATAGGTGAAAGAGGCTACTTCCTTTAGGTTTCTCCTGTTCATAGTGATTGGAGCTTGTTGTTGTTGATGCTGTTGTTGGTTGGGTATCTTCATCACCTCTGTCTTCTCTACGTTCACTTGTAGTCCCGTCTTGGGTGACTCCTCTGTCAACTTGTTGGTTCTCTCCTGTAGATCTTCGAGTTTGTGCGACGTAAGATATTAGACATAAATCATCATTGGTGAAATCCAAATCTTCTTCTAGGGTCTTTTCATCGTTCCAGCCAGGGTATGTCCATCTCGCTCCTCACTGTTCGCTGTGTGATCCAGTCAACTACAATCAGGAAGATCATTGGTGATAGTAGGGAGAGTCTTGTCTTATCCCTGTCTTCACTTCAAAGGCGTCACTGAGCTTCCCATTGTAGATCACTTGGCATGTGGCCTTTTCATATAGGTGTTGAATGAGGTTGATAAAGATTTGTGGTACTCCGTAGTGTTGAAGCAACTGCCAAATTACTTCTCGGTCGACTTTGTCGAAGGCCTTTTGAAAGTCGATAAAGTTGAGGTAGAGTTTAGTGGACTGCCATTCTATACTCTGTTCAATAATGATGCGTAGCGTCGCAATTTGATCCTATATATATATATATATATATATATATATATATATATATATATATATATATCTGGGCCGTATTTTTCATTAATTTTTCTGTTCAAAGCTATAACCACTGTTAAACAAACTGTTATTTTTTTGAGTAGTAATTTGTAAATCGGCATTTCATCCATCTTCCGTATATCCTAAGTGTTTTTGGTCTATGGAAAAGTTTCCATTGTACATATTGCATCAAATTACTCCTTTTTTGTACTTGTTTTAATTTTTCAAATGTCAACAAATCGTAAAATGTACTCTTGCGCACTCTTAAAATGTCTCTAACCCATTGTTATACAATTTAAGAACAAAAGTATAAGAAGAGTATGACGGTAGATGAAGGATGACATAATTATTACAGGAATAGTTAGCAGGAACTGCAAATTTTAATACTGACTAAATAATCCTCCACCCGCAAACTTCCATGTATGCTTTTCTATTAGTCCCCTCGTGCAACAACATACCCTACAAAGTAGACGGTAACCTAAAAACGACTGATCGTTATGCATTATTGTTTATCATACTATTATTATTGATATTAGTTACCTGCGATGGTTATTTAATTTGAAAATATTGTATAAGGAGTAAATTTGTTGAAATATCATACTGAAAATTCCACCCTATTAAAAATTATTGTCTGGAATGCAGTAATTATTGTTGTTGTAAATAGGGATAGGCTTAACTGATTTTAGTTCTTAAAAGATATGCCTTAGAAAGTCAACTTTTATGGGAGAGAAAAGATGGGATTAATCAGCATTGATTTTCAAACTTTATTGGTCAGTAATTCATTTATGTGAGCTGAAGATATTGTCTTGATGCGACATACCAGCTGGTTAAATTTGCACCATCAGTTTAGCTACTATAATTTGGCTTAATTGAAAGAAAATTTCATCATTGCATTGGGTTGACTACAATGTTACTGTATTTTTCTACTTGGTACTTGTTCATCGTGTGCTCTTTTCTCTATTTAGACTGTGTCTGAAGCTCTTCGGGAATCCTGTCTCGCTGCATTTTCTGGCAAAGCTATCAATTTCTCATAGAAAACACACTTTACAATTCAGAATTAACGTATCAATCGTATATTGTTATCGTAAACGTAAATAGGATAAAATTTCTACATACACTTTCTGAGTGAAATTCTTCACCTGCATATATCAAAGTAATTTCACTTTGAAATTATGCTTGATGTGTACCAAAAATGCGGCAGTTGAAGGGGATTGATGAATTTTGAAGCAGCTATTGTACACCTTATTCTTTTTAGAGGATCCCTTCTATTGTTTGTCTTTTTCGCTATCAGTAAACTAGTTTATTTACGTAGTTTCCTTTGAACGTGTTTGTTTGTATGTATGTAAAACAGAATGTTTTTAATACACTAGTTATTGACTTTGTGGGTCTTAAGAATTATTTAGTGCTGTGTGTGTGTGTGTGTGTGAATGGAATACTTTCCATGCACTTTTGTAGTTGGGAGGAAGTGGTTATTTGTATTGATTTGGATATGAGATTGGGACCCCAAATAGTCCAAAATATGACCCTATTGATAAAGCATGGTAACAGTAATATGTTCAAGCGTGAAAAAGAAGTCATATAAAAGTAAAGTCGGAGAATTTCCCCTATTCCTTCATTAATGCGGTGTTTACGCAAGTAGAATGAATGGAAACCACGATATATATATATATATATATATATATATATATATATATATATATATATATATCGAACTGCTTTTACACCCAGCTAGCCAGTAGTATGACTTCGCTCTAGAACTCTCAATGTAGTGTATGCTATTAATACTACGATGGTAACTGCTCCTAGCTTTGTCACTATACAACATATTTTTCTGGCATATAATATATATATATATATATATATATATATATATATATATTATATGCCAGAAAAATATGTTGTATAGTGACAAAGCTAGGAGCAGTTACCATCGTAGTATTAATAGCATACACTACATTGAGAGTTCTAGAGCGAAGTCATACTACTGGCTAGCTGGGTGTAAAAGCAGTTCGATATTTTCTGTGGATAACCAGCAAAACCATGTTGATGCTGCCTTCTATATGGTAAGCCTAAAAAATAACAGACTCTTTCCTGCCTTGTGGTATTTCAGTGGAGATGGGTTAGTGGGATGAAATCTCAGTCCGAAAAACGTGGTGTGTTACAGGCCTCAAGAAGATTTCTCATGAACTTTAAAACCACGCAGAATCATTCGTTTTTCTCTTTCAGATACTTCGAAGAAGCAAATCTCACGGTGTGTGCACCCGAGAGGTACCAACCATTTTCATGCCTTCAGTAGTGTCTAAAACCCAGTTAAATATAACCTACCCTGCTCCGTAATATTTCATTCCTTGCCTTCACTTCATAACATCAATAGTAGGTTTCTTAAAAAGTCTCCAGCCTCATATCCTGCGCCATTTTTAACTACCCAAGTCAGCGAAACACCGTTTTCACTCTCTTAAACATTCGTTGTCGATTTCACATTGTAACTTTCAACCTCTATGGTAAACTAAACAACAGGGACGTTCTGGCGAAATATTGGAGTCTCGAGCCAGTGATGTATTCTATGTCTCTGAAACATGCATGAAGGACCCGAGTGTGGCTGTTAAATTGACCTCACCTAGTTATTGCAGTGAATATTCAGTATCACTTTACGAGTGTTCAGAGACTCTGTGACTATCTTTCATTGACTTGCTGGTAGAGACCTAGTCTTGAGCTTTTATGCAGAAAGTGCTCCTCTCGACTGGATACCAGTCAACAGCCGCCTGTGTGCTGTTCGACTGAATGGATCTGTAAGGACTAGAAAGGATTGTGAAACGTGGCAGTGATTACGCGTAATCTCCACCTAAGCATCCACCGACTTCAGTTTGGATGATGGAAAGGATGAATTTTAACAAAAGCTGTCAATTTTGTCACAGAAAGCAAAACGTTAAGATGTAGTCATAATGGCAAGTGACTTTAACTCAAGCAGGAGAGCTGGGCCAATCGGAAAGGCATTTGGGAGGTATCTATGGAATCCCATACCAATGAACCGATAACGGTGATCGTCTGTTCCGATTTCGCCCTAACAGTCAATTACTTTTAGTCAGCACTAACTTTAAAGGGTTCCATTATTATTATTATTATTAGTCCCTTGGGTTCCTAGTGGAACATAGGGCTTCAGTAGCACGCCTCCAATGACCTCTGTTCTCTGAGATCTTTTGAACCTGGTTCCACGACAGCCCAGAAGCTCTCATTTCCTCCTCGCATGACCTCCTCCATGTCACCCTCGGACGTCCAACTCGTCGCTTCTCATGGGGATTCCACTCGAGGGCCTGACGCGTGATGTCCTCAGTCGGCCTTCTCAGTGCATGGCCAATCCATCTCCACTTCTTCCTGCATATTTGTTGGGTGATAGGTTCTTGGTTGGTTCGTTCCCAGAGTTCCTTGTTGCTTATTTTTTCTGGCCATCTGATCTTCAGCAGCGAGCGTAAGCAGTTGTTGATGAATGTCTGTAGTTTATTGGAAATGCCTTTCGTGACGCGCCAAGTCTCTGAGCCATACAAGAGCACTGACTTGACGTTGGTGTTGAAAATCCGTATCTTGTTCCGCATGTTCCATACTGGGACGAAATGCCCGTCTAGTGCTCCCAGTGGTTCTCCATTTGATATCAGCCCGTGATGAATACTACCTTAAATATACGAAACTTGATAAATCCAACATTTTGAAATGGTATGTATAGGTCGGGTATCATACAGCTCTCGTTCTCATGAAAACGCAGTCATGTCAACAGCATTAAGTTTCTGTAGTAGATTGGAAAAGTTCTTCGCCCATGACATTATTCACCTCAAAGATTCCGTGGAAACCCGTAACAGGAGTCATCTACACCAATGTTGAGCTGCTATCTATACTTACAAACCTGCTGATTGTATGTTACAGATAAGTGATGTATGAAGGCAAGCAAGGTTTTCAAGGCTACCCTGAAAAACAGCATATAAGAATATAGTACTTACTTCAGACCAATCCATATTGGCAGGCAGGGTAAACGAGGCAGAAAGACAAACGATAAGCATTGTTTACAATATATAGAGTCTTCTGGACATGTTGAGCAGAAATCTGAGTGTGTTTGGCATGCGTTTCACTGGGATCTGTCAACTGTAAGATGATGCTGCAGAACCGGTCTGCTGCAAGTACTCCTAGTTTAACCATGGTTAGTGAAGTGGTTGAATGTGTCGACTACTACACTTAGGGAGTTGCATCAACCCGAACGGGCTGGTTGCTGACGAAATGTCATCTCGAATACAGTAGGCCTGTTTGGCATTTTCCAACTTGCGTCATCTGTGGTGCCGACTGGCGATACATCCAACTATCTATCACAGGACAAGTATACTACGATGCAATTCGTTCTGTCCTTTTGTACGGCTGAGATATGGGCGTTGAAAGTAGAAGACACGAAGCGACTACAAGTTTTTGACCATAGATGCCTTCGTAGCGTTGCTCGCGTTTTGCGGGATCACTGTGTGAGCAATGTTGAAGTCAGGCGAAGGATACTAAGCGAAACAGCGAAGTTGATTGGTCAGGTTGTGAACCTTCAGGGGCTGAGGTGGTCTTGACACATGATGTGCTTGCGAAGTCACCATTTACCTCAACCTGCCATGCTAGGGAAGGTTGGACTAGGTTTTGAGAGGCTTCATGGTGACCAGACCAAGACGTGTTACCAGTCGATGAAGTCCCTGACTGTTGGTCTGAGTCATTTGGGTAGATGTAGTAGTCTATCTGATTGGGGGCGAAAGGAATCAGTGGTGTAGGACTGTTGGTGACACGTGGAAATCTGTCGTAGTGGCGCAGATGTACTTACTCCTTGACATCTAATGCTTGAGTATTCGCACTAGCCTGTGTCTTCAAATTGTATATTCTCACGCAACTTTGTATTCTTTGTTATCAATCTTATTCTATCCACCTGTTCTTTGTATACTACTGTGCATTGTGGTAACTTGAACCGGTGCACGTGTGTACGAGGTTCTGCGTTGATTTTGCCAGTCAGTTGGCCATTTACAATGTGTGTACGCTTAAATGATTGATTTTATGCAGTGACTATTTGAAGTATTCTGTCACAGATAATCTCTCTGATTTAATTAATTTTGGATTATTTTTGACATAGAGATATAGAAGCAGGTACTTTTAATTTTCATCGAATCGACAGTACGGTATTATTTCTTGCCGAATCTGAACAAATTACTTGCCAAACAAGGCAGAAAGACAGTCAAATACTACAGCATATTGAATTTGGTTAGGTTAGTATGGATTTGAAGGAGGTCAGTTTACATCCTTCATTGACATTAACTAAAGAACTACTTGCAGCCTGAAAGTATTGGACAAGTTGGTCTACTCTTCTTCAGGACCTCTTAATAATCTGCTAAAATAATATCGATCCAAAAATTGTCAACGTCTGCTGATATATGACCGAACTATGAAGTTGTTTTCAGTAACATCTAAGAGTCTTGAAACCAGTATCTTATCGTATCGTGCGTAATTACTAAAAAGTAATCTTAACCAATTCAGAACAGCTATTCAACGCTGTTTGATTTTCTCAAATGGAGAGACGGAAATACAGGCAAAATAAAGTAGACGTTTATGCAGAAATTCATCAGTTCAAGTTGTCATATTTCGTCACAGTAATGAAATACTAATTCACTACCCTAATTTATATCAGTTTATTATAAAGTCAAACATCAGATTTATCAGTCGATAGTTCATTTTTACAAGTTACATTTTCGTAGATATTACCACTTCTGTAGTCTATTTGATGAGTAGCTGTGGAATCCAGGACATGTGTTTCGCCGCATATGTCCCTACTAAGACTCGAATCCAGTACCCATCACTTTCGAAAGCTAAACGGTTATCCACTAGGCCATTGAAGCCCCCAAACCAGCACTTGTGCAATGGGTTTCAGTTGTTATTCGATACTTGTAATCTTCCTTGCTATATTAGATCGAACTGCTAGACCTTTGTTGGCATATGGTCTATACAGAAGCCTCGATACTGCTCGGATACTCGTTATATCATAGTCTATTTCGTGGCCAGCAGTGGAATGCAGGACGCGCATCCCTTCCATTATTTTGAAACTTTCCTGTTACAATATGAAGAATTGTTTTCAGTTTATTTTAAATCCATTCCACACTGAATGAGTGAAATTCATCATGAAATGTTGACCATTTTGCAGTTCCCCAGTATTGGTCTACTGTAAAACCTATTACTAGATGTCTCAATTGAAAAAAAATTAGACTTAATTTAAAACAGAAGGTGAAATACACCTTTACTTTTGCTGTTAGATGAACTGATGCAGATGGTTATTCGATTAACTTATTCAGTATTTTGTTGAATGATTTCAGGAGTCACTTGTCG